CAGACATGCCCTCCCTCCACAAAGATTCTCCTGCCTCTTCTTCATGGCATGTACAGCGGGCCTCCTTCTGTGGTCTCAGCACCATGGTGTACCCAGGAGGCCCTCACTGGTGTCACAGTGATACTCAGATGGCCTGATTTATTGGCACCATCTGAAAGAGTGAGTCAGCTGAGTGCAGAGTCCTGCCACAGATCAACACACCAAAACTTGGATGATGTGAGTAGCAAGTCATGCTGCTTTTGGATTGCTTCTTCCTTTTCCCATGTTGTTCAATATGGTGACCAAAAGGAAAACTGAAAAAACCAAATCTCTTAGTCATTTTTTTGGACAGGAAAAGCTTAATGTAAAACCACATTAACTATAAGAGGTGGTTGGAGTATAGAGGAATTAGCTGCTAAGGGGTAAAGAACTCTAAAACACAGAAAGAGTAGATACAGGAAGCAGCCTCTATCTTCAGGTCTAAGGCAGGGCACCCAAGGGCGGAACAAGGGTGGATGAGGGTGCCCACCTCACACACACACCCAGGGCTGAAATTCCTTGGACCTGTTGGAGAGCGTACATCCAGGGCCCACTGGATGAGGGAGAGGTTTGCAGAGGTGCTGCACTGGTAGAACTCTCTGGAAAGTAATACTTAAGGATCTCAGAGAAAACTGTCCAAAGGTGAGACTGCATGTGATACCAGACTGAGAATTTTCCCAAAGTGTGGTGCGCTTGGAAGCTGCCTAGAGGAAGGTGGGCATCATGGGCCAACAGGAGCCTGCTGGGAGAGATCACATACCAGAGGCAGAGACAAAGCCTGTCCCTCCTCTAGTGCATTGTTCAGTTGCTCAGTCACGTCTGACTCTTTGCAGCTCCACGTACTGCAGCATGCCAGGCATCCCCGTCCTTCAGCATCTCTCAGAGCTTGCTCAAGCTCATGTCCAGTGAGTCAGTGATGCCATCCAGCCATCTCATCCTCTGTTGTCCTTTTCTCTTCCTGCCTTTGATCTTTCCCAGCATCAAGGTCTTTTCTAATGAGTCAGCTCTTCACATCAGGTGGCCAAAGTATTGGAGCTACAGCTTCAGCATCAGTCCTTCCAATGAATATTCAGGACTGATTTCCTTTAGGATGGACTGGTTGGATCTCCTTGTAATCAAAGGGATTCTTAAGAGTCTTCTCCAACACCACAGTTCAAAAGCGTCAATTCTTCAGTGCTCAGCCTTGATTATGGTCCAACTCTCACATCCATACATGACTGCAAAAACCATAGCTTTGATTAGGTGGACCTTTGTCAGCAAAGGAATGTCTTTGCTTTTAAATACACTGTCTAGGTTTGTCTAGGGCTTCCCTATGGCTCAGCTGGTAAAGAATCCACCTGCAGGAGACCTGGGTTCAATCCCTGGGTTGGGAAGATCCAGTGGAGAAGGGGAAGGCTAAGCACTTCAGTATTCTGGCCTGGAGAATTCCATGGATTGTATAGTCCATGGGGTCTCAAAGAGTCAGACACAACTGAGCGACTTTCACTTTCACTTCTAGGTTTCCCATAGCTTTTCTTCCAAGGAGCAAGCGTCTTTTAATTTCATGGCTGCAGTCACCATCTGCAGTGATTTTGGAGCCTAAGAAAATAAAATCTGTCACTATTTCCATTGTTTCCCCATCTATTTGCCATGAAGTGATGGGATCGGATGCCATGATCTTCATTTTTTGAATGTTGAATTTTAAGCCAGCTTTTTCACTCTCCTCTATCACCTTCATCAAGAGGCTCTTTAGTTCTTCTTCATTTTCTGCCATAAGGGTGGTGTCATTTGCATTTCTGAGGTTATTGATATTTCCCCCAAAAATCTTGTTCCCAGTTTATGCTTCATCCAGCCCAGCATTCTGCATGATGTGCTCTGCATATAAGTTAAATAAGCAGAGTGACAACATATAGCATTGATGTACTCCCTTCCCAATTTGGAACCAGTCTATTGTTCCATGTCCAGTTCTAACTGTTGCTTCTTGACATGCATACAGTGATTAATGCAAAGAAATGGAGAAAAACAATAGAATAGGAAAGACTAGAGATCTCTTCAGGAAAATTAGAGATACCAAGGGAACTTTTCATGCAAAGATGGGCACAATAAAGGACAGAAATGATATGGACCTAATGAGTTAGGGATGGGGGAGTGGGAAAGATGGGGCGCAGTGAGCCAGGTGGGAGCTGAAAGCAGACTTCCCTGTAAGAGAAGATCAGATATGGAGAAGAAACAAGATAAACAGAATTCCAGAGGGAAACCCTCTAAGGCACATGTGGTATCACATGGGCTGCCCCCTTCCAGGCCCGCTAGCTGCAGGATCCAGGAGCTCTCTTCTGTCACATCTGATCTCTCCACCTACCTGCTGTGAGGTGTAAAGGTAGTTCGTATATGAGGGTCAGTCAGACATAAATCTGGAAAAATCAACTGATGGAGAAAAATAAAATGAAGCTTAATTACAATTCCAGAAATTAATTACATGACATGTGCAATTCTCGGTCCACACCCTAAGGGAGGTATATAAAAAATGTAGCTTCTTTTAGTGTTTTTTAGCAGTCAACCTAATTTGTGTTTCTTAACTCCATTCTAGTCCATGTTGGATTCCTAATCACTTCAAGAGTTTTTGCCCCGGTTTTCCTGAGTTTGCATCTAAGTTCAGTTGAGGATGCATCTGGTTACTGTGATGTCTGGTTTATTCATCTCTAGGGCTGCTGTAACAACCCTCTAACTGGTAGCATACATAAGTAACAGAGATTTATCTTCCCAATTCTGAAGGCTAGAAGTCCAAGATCAAGGTATGGAAGACTTGGCTCCTTCTGAGGGTAGTAAGGGAGAATCTGGTGGTTTACTGGCAGTCTTTGGCATTCCAAAGAGTGTAGAGACATCACCCTGATCTCTGTCTTCATCTTCACATGGCATTCTCCTTGTGGGTGTCTGTCTTCAGATTGCCCCCTTTTTATAATAATACCAGTCGTACTGAATTAGGAACTTAATCTACTCTGGTATGATCACATCTTAACTAATTATGTCTGCAGTGGTCCTATTTTCAAGTATTCTGATGCTCTGAGGGTTAAGACTGCAGCACATGAATTTTAGAAAAGACACAGTTCAACCCACAGCTTCTTACCCTAGAGTATCTCTGCCTTCTGGTCCCAGCCGTGGGATGTGCAGCTCACCTGTTGCAGACAAGATGTCCTTCCTGCAGGTCCACATGGTTCATCAGGGCAAGCCCCTATCTGTTCCTTCCACACCATGGTTTGTGGCACAGAAATACATTCATCTACACACACTTCAGCCTGGGCCTGCTGGGGAGGTGGTTTGAGGCTCCATCTACCTAAACATGTCATGTAGTCATTTTTCCTGAGCTCTAGCTGCCTCCCTGGTACTCTGGGTGGAAAGAAGAACAAAGGATCCCTCTCTTCTCAGATTTCATAAGCCTTAGAGAGGTTTTACTGTTCCCTGTTGAAAAGTTTCTCTGTGCTGGGGAACAGCCTGAAGAAGTGCAAGGTCTTGTCTGGCCTTTAAGATCAAAACTCAGAACCCTTTGTGGAACCATTAGCATATGTCATCTCTCAAGGCTGCCTCCACTTTAGGGCAAGAGAGATATTGTCTGGTGTGTTTGAGGTGGGCATGGAGGAATGAACACACCTTTCCTCCTATTGCAGGTGTTTCCTCAAACACGTTTATGTAGACCATGGGCTGGCTAGCTATGGCCTATGGGCCAAGTCTGGCCCCCCACTGGGTTTTGTAAATAAAGTTTTATTGGCACACAGCCACACCCTTTTGTTTATACATTGTCTTTGGTGCTATAGTGGCAGAGTTGAGTACTTGCATGGCCCATAAATCCAGAAAAATTGACTGTCTGGCCCTTTGCAGAGAAATTTTGTGGATTCCTGGTGTAGATTTTTGTTTCACAAAAGCCTGAAGACTTTTGCCGTCTTCCACTGTCATATCTCTTCTATAAGGCAGTGATCACAGGGTGGTCTTACAGTGTGAAGACAAGAAATGGCAAAGAGTGGGAAAGAAATATTCAAAATGAAATGGTTAGGGTGTCAGAATGTCACCTTGCTAATAGGACTTTACGGTTTGTGAAAAGTCATTGAGCAGAGCAGCTGTGATTTGTGCTGATTTCAGTAAAAAAAAACGTGCCCAGGGAATGGGGGAGGCAGTCTTACCCCATCATGATGTTCTTGGCATTGTGGAAGTGAAGAGCACCATTGAGGTGGCCCCTGTGAGAGTCCTATGAGGACACCAGAGCCTTGCAGAAGAGCTGGGCAGGGCCAGCTTCAGCCAGCCGGGCCAGGGTCCTGCTGCTCCCCAGTGCCCTTCCTGTGTGTAGACATGGCCCCAGGACACATCTGGGTCTGCAGAACTGGTTAAAATCCCAGTTTCAGCACAGAGCATCGAGGAACCAAGACTGCAGTCTTGAGCATGTGTGGTCTCACGTTTGTCTGGTAAAGGATGCAGAGCTGGGATCTGGCTGGTCTCTACCCAGAGCCCATGAACCAGTGAATTAATACTTCTGATTCTTTTCATTATAGAGTAAATGAGAGCTATTTATTTACTCAATGTGAAACTTAGTATAACTTAGTGAAACCTCTGAAGTATAGCTAGCAGCCATTTAAAGGTCTTCATTCCGTTTAAGAAAAAAACCCCAAAAAACCCACACACGCCAAAAATTCCCCTTGGGGTTTTCAGTGTTACAGATGGTCAAGTTTTAAGTTCAAATGAAAGACAATTCTGGGATCTTGCTGAACTGATCCATCCCGTATCCTATTTCCAGATGACCTTGATTTACAGTTCTTGGATGCGTTTTTCTCATGGCTTACTTAACATGCCGTCATTGTGGGGCTGGGATTGCTGAGAGATAGTGTGGAAGAGGAGAGGGGGTGTTGCTTTGGAAACCCTGCCTGCCCCTCCCCCTCCTGGAAAGAGAAGCCACCCGTGAGCTCCCCTGCTGCTTCTGCGGCCCGTCTGGTTAACGTGCGCCCTTCTCTTCCTTCTAGCCCAGGACCAGGAGGCACGCACTGCCTGGGCGCCAGCGTGGAGCACACAGTCTGCGAGAACCTGCCCTGTCCCAAGGGCCTGCCCAGCTTCCGTGACCAGCAGTGCCAGACGCACGACCGGCTGAGCAGCAAGAAGAAGGGCCTGCTCACCGCAGTGGTGGTTGACGGTAAAGGCACATGGCACATCCTTTCAGGGGAGCTTCCCTCTCCCTTCCCCCAGCGCCATAAACACCTCCTGGGAGAACCCATAGGCATCCCCACCCCCAAAATCCACCCAGTCCTGCCCGACTCAGCTGTGGACCCACTTCTTGAGCCGTGGGTTGAACTTGGATGACCCAGCTCGGTGAGATTTCCCAAACAGCCATGAGGCAGGCAGCAAACCTGATCTCTCCTGCCCGGGTGTGCTGGCAGCCTGCCGTCCAGTGCCCTGTGCTGCCAGGCACAGGCCGACCCTGAGAACACAGCTCTGCAGGAGCAGGACAGCGGGTTTGTGTGTCTGCTATTTCTCTTTCCAGTGGTGATGCTTTCTTGCAATCTTTACTTGGTTCATCATGAGCTGGCTCTTACTCCTTGACCGGAGTGTTGGGAAAAAGTTTTGTTTTTTTTTAACTGAAGTAACATTGGTTTATAACATTATGTAAATGTCACATATGCAACACTATATTTTTCACTCATGTATACGCTACAGTGTGCTCCTCACGAGAAGTTAAATTTCCATCTGTCACCATACAGTTGACCCTCTTTACCTTCCCCCTACCCCCCTTCCCTGCTGGTAGCCACTACTCTATTCACTGTATCTGTGTTTGTTTTTGTTTTGTTCGAGGACAGTTTATAGCTTGGTGAAGATGACAGTAAGCACAGGTCATCTTTTCTTTCCTACAGTTTTCTCTCAAATCAAGAGACTCTGCCCCCTGGGCCATTGCAAGCATTTCCAGTGACTGATAAAATTCTAGGTGGAGTATCATGTCTATAGAATTTGTGATGTTTGTTTATTGTCCACAAGGATATCCCAGGGCCTATTGGAGGGTTTTTTCATTCTTAAGATTCTGTTCATCTTCAGAAAGCAAGACTGCATTATAATGATGACAGCATGGTCCCGTTTATGGAGCGTACCACGTGCCAGGCTCAAGTTAGCTCTGCATGCATCATCTCATTGAATGTGCAAAGCAAGCCATGCGGAAGTTGAGAGGTTACAGGTTATGTGACGTTTCTTAGCTTCGGCAGCTGATAAGGAGCTGGGAGGGAGCTGACCCCAGTTCTGGAGGAGCTGCTGACTCAGAAAGTAACCAGCTGGCTTCTGGTACTCGAGTGAGAAAAAGAAAGTTCCTGAATGCCGAGTGAGGAGCTTTAGTAAGAACTCAGGCAACTAGGCCTGATTTTTACACAGTCTCTGAAGTATTTTGCAGGAAAATGAGGTTCCTGTCTCAGGACTTAGGTTTCTTCACTGTCATGTGAAGACCCTCTGAAATCTACACTCTGTTACACGCTCGTGTGCATAACTGTGTTGGGGGTAGGCCCAGGCGGTTCAGGGAAAAGTGGACCCAGACCTATAGCTTTTAACCCAACAACCTGACCCATGACCCATTAGCTTCCTTCAAACTGAGATGGGATATTCTAAACCATCCCAGGGAACATCAACTCAATCGGCGATGGGCTCATTTTAAAGCATTGGGAAGCCCTTCAGACATTTTCCTTTTTCACAAAGACCACCACCTTTGGGAGCTGTGTGACTGTGGCCGCCCTGTCACATAACCAGCAGACTCCCAGGGGGATGGAGCCTTCATACTCTCCGCTTCCCCTGCGGACCAGGGAGAGAGGAGACCCGAGCTCCGCAAAGTGGGACAGGCAGCTGGAGGCCGAGGCTCGCGAGAGCCTCACAACTCTGCCTGGGCTTCCGTCTGATGCAGGAAGACGCTCGAGGCTTCTAGAAATCCCAGACACTCTACTTGGGAGGGAGGGAGTGCCGGCAGGGGCTGCCGTGCTTCCAGCGCGTTTCCACCCCTTCAGCCCCATCCCCAGACTCCCAGATGGATAGGTTCGGGTCCCTTGCCTGTCCTCTCCCTCATCTTGGGAGAGAGACGAGGTCAGGTCTGGACAGACGTGCCTCACTCTCATTTCCCCTCGGCCATGTGCACGGCCTTGTTATTCATTCCTTGGTCTCTCGCTCCAGTTTTCAGTTTTCCTGCCTCATTTATTCAATGCAGAAATCCCACTGAAATGTCTGTTTTTCCATAGATTTCTCCAAGTCCAGATTAAACTTCTGTTTTCCTTGTAACCGCTTTTGGATCACTGAGCCGCTAGGTTCCTTATCATCACAGTGGCTGAGGCTGATGTCTGCCCAGAGAGCCCCCTTCAAGGAAGCCTCCAAGTACAGCTATCTGGGGAAGCTGGCTGGGTTCAGAATGTGTGTTGACCCACTCACTTTCTGTTTCTGCCAAAGCAATGAATAGTTACAGCCAGAGTGCCACTGCCTTTGATCTGGAAAGTGCAGCCCTCTGTGATAAGGCGGTGAGCACTCTGCCTTTGAAGGAAAGACCTCAAGTTCAGGGCTTTGCCAGGGTAGCTTGACCCATCCCCCTCGGGGGTGGAATGGTCATGTCTTCTTGCATATTTGGTTTCATTTCCTTCTCAAATAGAAACAGAAGCCAGCTTTTTTTTTTTTTAAAGGAGTGTTTCACAAGGATAAAAGCAAAATAATAAATGGCCAATTCAGAAGGTAGGGGGAGAATACAGATTATAAGTGTTCCCCTCACAACTCTGTTTATAAAAGGCACAATTCTAGCTCAGCCGTGAGAGGAACGATTCCTGTGGTTGGGCTCTGGGCTCTTCTGAAGCCCATTATGACTGCCCCATTCATAGCATTGCTATCGCTGTGGAATTCTTTGGCGAGTGACGCACAGTTCAAGAAAGGGGAAGCTATATTTTTTTTTTCTTTTTTCTCTTATTGAAAAAAAAAAAAGAATTCTTGCAGAGGTAGATTTTCCAAGGGAGGGCTCAGGACCACAAATTCATACCACGTCCAAAAGAAGACAAAGACTCTCCTTAGAAAATATTTCTAAGTGGAAAAGCCTTTAGACAGAAACCCAGTGAGGTGGCCTGTTGCCAAACCCACCCCTTTTCTGCCTTCCCCGTGGAATCTCATTGAAGTGGAAACCTTCAAGAGGTTAGTCCTCCCTGCCCAGGCCAGCAGGCCATGTGCCCACCGAAGTGTCAGAGGCCATGGCAAAGGCCCTGTCTAGATGTGGAGGTGCTTTTCGAGCTCACTGTCTGCGACATGGCAGGACCCACTGTGGATCTGAGCCTCCCAGGGGATGGAAGGTCCGATGGTCAGGGCTCTCCCACTCCAGCTTGACCATGCTGGGAGCTAGAATTACTTAATGAAAAAAAAAGAGTGGTTGCAGAGATGCAGGGTGTCTCACAGATCCCGAGGGCCAGGAGTAGGAGGAAGTTCTGGGGCCAGGGTCTCTGGAGATGTCAGGACTTTCTGTCCTTGTGAGCCATGTCTTCCTGCCCCTGCTGCAGACTGACTTTCTCACAATGTGTCCACAAGCAGGCTCATGGGCAGCCCACAGCACCTTTTATTAAGTCCTCCTCCTGTTTCCAGATCCTGTGGGGTCAGATGTGGTTGGGAGATCAGAGTACTTCAGCTGTTAGAAGAATACCAACCATATATCAATCATGTATTACTTAATACATCAATGGGGTCCTGGGAAGCACCCCTCAGTCAGACACATGGACACCTCCAGGTTGCTGGGGAACAGTGTTTAAGTGTGTTACTGCATACTACCAGCAGCCTCATGTCAGTCAAGGCTAGTTTTGCAGCCTTTTGTGTCTACCGTAAATGTTTAAAAAAAACAATGCCTGCAGTTTTCAGAGATTCTGGATTTCTGAATTGTGGATGAGGGAATGTAGACTTCTTAGAGCTCCATCAACCTTGAGCATGTATAACCTCTCTACCTGAATATTCATTGGAATAACCTTTGTACCTGAGTTTCAGCTGAAACTGAAGCTCCAGTACTTTGGCCACCTGATGCGAAGAGCTGATTCATTGGGAAAGACCCTGCTGCTGGGAAAGATTGAAGGCAGGAGGAGAAGGGGATGACAGAGGATGAGATGGTTGCATGGCATTACCGACGCAATGGACATGAGTTTTGAGTAGGCTCCGGGAGTTGGTGATGGACAGGGAAGCCTGGCATGCTGCAGTCCATGAGGTCGCAAAGAGTTGGACATGATTGAGGGACCGAACTGATCTGACTTTCAGTGCTGATTTTCCAGGAGAGAGACTTTGATTAGTCTAGCTGTGGTCAGGTGGCCATTCTTGGTCCAATCAACTTAGGCCCCTTGAGGCCTGGCTATGAGGCTGTGGTGGGGAAAAAGACTCTGATTGGTCTAGCTACAGTCAAGTGGCCACTGCCGGTCCAATCAGCTGAGGCCTGGCTGTGGGTCATGGTGGGCAGTTTTGGAGATAGGGAGCCGAGCAGGCTGCTCAGCATGGATACCCCACAGAGGGCCAGGCAGGACTGGGGTGAGCAGCTATGATGGGCTCAAAGTTAACTAGTCTCCACCTTAGTAAGACTTTGTAACTACTGGCAGAGAGAGAACGACAAAAGCACAAAGAACCACAAGTGTCCTCTTCACCATCCTGGCCCTAGAGCACCAGGGCAAGTCCTCCAAGCCTCCATCAAGCAGATGTGGTGGTATGGCTCTCAAGCCCCCAGGCCTGTCTCACCTTCCCTGTTTGCGGCTTCCCCATCAAGTGTAAGTCCTGACAACAGGTGAACCAGTGGAAAGCTGGGACCCACCCTAAACAGACTGAGAGAAGGAGAAGGGGATGACAGAGGACGAGATGGTTGGATGGCATCATCGACTCAATGGACGTGAGTTTGAGTAAGCTCCGGGAGTTGGTGATGGACAGGAAGGCCTGGTGTGCTGCAGTCCATGGGGTCACAATGAGTCAGACATGACTGAGCGACTGAACTGAACTGATCCCAAACAGCTTCAATTCAGATTTCATCTTGGCACACATCAGCCAGGCAAGAGGGATGTTCCAAGCTTCTCTCCTTAGGGTATATGATTATATAACTTTTAAGAAGATTTTACCTCCCCCTATACAACTGAGGGCTTTCCTGGTGGCTCAGACGGTAAAGAATCTGCCTGCAATGTGGGAGACCTGGGTTCAGTCCCTGGGTAGTGAAGACCCCCTGGAGGAGGGCATGGCAACCCACTCCGGTATTCTTGCCTGGAGAATCCCCATGGACAGAGGAGCCTGGCGGGCTACAGTCCGTGGGGCCACAAAGAATCGGACACGACTGAGCGACTAAGCATAGCACATACAACTGAGGATCTAAGAGTGTTGATACTGCCCAAAGTTGAAACCCAACACCTCATGTTATTTATCAGGAAATTAATTGCCCATCCAGAGCAGCTCAGAGGGGAATATTCAGAGAATTTTGAGAGGTTCTGAGATGCTCAAGTTTTATAAAGTTTATCCTGTGTCTCTTTGGGACATACTGCTGTACCTTCCTAGAGGTGTGGGGTGCCCTAATTTCTGAGGAGAATCCTCGGAAAAGGAGATGGACAGATGGAGTGAGTTCCAGCTGAGCAGGGGAAGGAAGTGTTACCTCTGGGCTCTGTTGTGGGGCTTGAGGCTCTCCAGACTGCCCAAGCCATGAAGGACAGTGTCTGCAGGTGGAAGAGTAGAGTTGAGTGTACCTTCTTGCCTGGGTTCATGTCAGAATCCCTCCATCTGAGGTTGGGGTCCCCTGATTTGCAGAGTCTCTACTTCCCTGATGTTCACATCAAAGAACCCGGGTAGACCATCTTCATCCCTTTCAAGTCTGGTCTTTCTAACTTACCTCAGAGAGCCTCTACTTTTCTACCCAAATCCCATTTTCATTTCTGCCTAAATCACAGTGTATACTCAGAAGCCAGAGAAGTTCATAAAAGTGGTGATTTGTTTTCAGCATGGTGTCTTTGGTACCTTTGACTCCCAGAGTTCTCAATTCAGAAGGAAAACAGTGATGAACCAGGGTCTGGCCCTGCCTGTCAAGGGGCTCTGGGTAGCCACACATATTCTCCGAGCCTCACATGCTCAGCTGTAAGAAGGAATGATGACAACACCCTCCTGAAGTGCATAGACACTGCTTAGCATGCTGCATGGCACAGAGCAAATAATGTTATTTATGATTTTATCATCATCATCACCATTGTCATTATTGCTGTAGTTGAATGAATCTCCTCAAAGCTCAGTTACTGCAGATATTAAGGCAGCTCTGCAGTTTAAATGTAATCCTTCATTTTGAAACTGCTTTGGCCAAGGGATCCATCCTTACAATGAAACACTAGAGGAAGCCTAATATGTGGAGAAGGTATATCCATCCATTCAAGATTGGGACTCTGTGTTGCCCCTCTCCCAGTGGCTCCCCGACATGCTTATAGGAAACCTCAGGGTCCCAAAGAGCACCCCAAAATTCTTGTCAAATTAACCTCCCAGAACCTGATCTCAGTTTACATTTCAGTCTCCCATAGTTCTTTCATTGACCTTCATCTTGGGTTATTTCATCTAAATGAAGGGACAGCTGACCCCAGCCTGCCACCTAGGGGAATGGATCATTCCTTCCAGTATGCCTGTCCTCTTGACAGCTGAGATCAGACTTCTGAGTATTTTCACAGTCTGCCTCATCCAGAGTTTGCTGTTTACTTGTCCACAAGACCACCAGGGCCTTGAAAAGCATGCATGATTCATCTTTCTTTCCCAAGCAGTGCCAGAACAGTGCCTTGTGTGAGAGAGGTCCTCCATCCACATTTATTAAATGAAGCATTGTTACTTTGCTTACTTGGGAAACTACCCTTCACAGTTGATTCTCGCCCCCCCCCCCACAACTAATTGGAACAGCCAAGTTGAACACCTGTACTCTACCCCTATAGCTTCTTTCTAGCGTTCTAAGACAAGATTCCCAGTGGACATGTTGGTCAGTAGCACTGTGTGGGAGACGAGCTCAATGGAAAGCTGCTGAACACAGTGGCAGTTTAGTGAATGTCACCCCATCTCAAAAGCTGCGGAACCTGGGTGAGGCAACATGTCTGCTCTGACAAGACCTCTCCAGCTAGGATGTCAAAGTCTAAACTGAGGCCATGCCAGCTCCAGAAGCCTTTTGTTTTACCCCTGCCTTTGTTTATCCGAGGCCACCAGAAGGTCCTCCTGGGGAAGGCTCATAGTGGAGATAAAAGACATGGCAGAAACAACACAAAGATGTTGGCATTCCTCTCTATGAAAGTTACTTTGTAAAATAATCATACAAACTACGTTAGAATTAGGTGACAGAGAGAAAACAGTGCATTTATCTTTTTCAATTACCTACAAAAGAACAAAATCCATTGTATTATTGTTTTTTTAAGTCCTCTTTTCCCTACTTCAAACAGTGCCTTGTGTGAGAGAGGTCCTCCATCCACATTTATTAAAAGAAGCATTGTTACTTTGCGTACTTATAACAATGTAAGTCCTAGCTTACTGGATGTCCTAGCTAATGCAATAAGACAAGAAAAGGAAGTAAAAGGTACACAGATTGGGGGAAAAGAAAACTATCTTTGTTTGCTGGGGAAAAATATCTTTGTTTGCAGATGGCATAATAATCTGTAGAAAATCCAAATGAATCAACAGAAAACTAAAAACCTCCTGGACTGTAACAAGGTTGCAGAACACAGCATGTACAAAAGTCAGTCACTTCCCTATATAATAGCAATGAGCATGTGGAGTTTGAAATTAAAAACACAATGCCAGGGACTTTCTTGGCAGTCTAGTGGTTAAGGCTCTGCTTCCACTACAGGGGGCATGGGTCCAATCCCTGGTCAAAGAACTAAGATCCTGCATGCCGTGCCTCACAGCCAAGAAGTAAAAAGAACACTACTGGAATTCTTAAAATAAAAACACAGTGTTGTTTACATTAGCACCCCCAAAATGAAATAATCAGGTTTAAATCTAACAAAATATGTATAAGATCTGTATGAGGAAAGCTATAAAACTCTGATGAATGAAATAAAACAACTGTATAAATGGGGAAATATTCCATGTTGGTGGAAAGATATCAAAATGTCAGTTCTTTACAATTTGATCTATAGATTGAGTAATCCTGGTCAAAATACCAGCAGGTTATTTTGGGGCTATCAACAAACTGATTTTGAAGTTCATACCGTAAGATGAAAATATTTACCAAGTCCTTCTGTGAGGCAGATCCTGGGACTGACCAAAGATGAAAGTTTGACTCCTTGTCCTCCAAGGGCTCCAATTTCCATCAGTTCTTTCGTCTAAAGGTAATTTGCAATCCACCCCCTTCAAACTTCTGTAGCAAAAGGACTCACCTTATAGGAAATCCAAGACAGTAGGATTTGAGGGCTGTAATGGAGGTGTGTGCAAAGTGCAGGTGGAAATTGCAAGTCAGAAGTGGCACGAGAAGAGACGGCTCTGGAGTAGAAGCTTCTGGGACGCCAGAAATACTCCAGAAAGCTAAGTGAGTGGAGGGATTTCCAGGCAGAGAGAACAATCCAGGTAAAGGTGCGAGATCATGGCATGTTCTGGGGGCTCATCTGGTTCCAGCAGCAGAAATCAGGATTTCCATCGTGCCTGGGGAAATGGCTCTTACAAGTTGTCCTAGAGACTTATGTGTCCCCTTTCTGTTTCTTATTCCTATACCGTTTCTTCCAGGACCTTCTTGCTGCAACGCACAGCCCTGCAGCTCTTCTCCAGTGGCTGAGGAGCACTAAAACTTCAGCAAAAGCCGCTACTCTGGAGACACTCCAGGGCTGCTCCCCTCGCTGGGAGGCCGCCTCCTCCCCCCTTCTCCACCCCAGGCCCACCCTTGGTACATATTCAGCTTGCTTAGAAGTTAGCACTGGACAAAATGTTTGTTCAGCCTGGTATTTTTAGTACTTTAAGGAAACAGAAATACTGTATCTTTGCAAAGGATAAAGAAAACAAAGTGAAGAAAAGCCCACAGAGCTCTCACCTGCCTGCCTGTCACCCAAGTCAGAGGAGTTTCTTTCTCCATGTTCTGGATCACGTGTTCCAAGGGGTGGGTAAAGCATGTGTCCTGTACCTGTGACCCCGGACTTTTCATCTCCTGGTCTGGTCTGTGCCTGCAAGCATCTTGCACCCCACCTGGCCCCCAAGACCCTACCCACGTCAATGTCCACCCCTTTCCCTCCTCAGATAAGCCATGTGAACTCTACTGCTCACCCCTCGGGAAGGAGTCCCCACTGCTGGTGGCCGATAGAGTCCTGGACGGCACGCCCTGCGGGCCCTACGAGACGGATCTCTGCGTGCATGGCAGGTGCCAGGTGATGTGTTTTCCTTGTGTCCTTGGCAGGGTTTTGGAGGGGAGGCTCCCTCCAGGGGGAGCTCGGGTGGCAGAGGCCTCAAAAGGCCTGGGTGAGTGGACTTTCTCAAGAAGGCATCTCACGGGTGGTGGTGCCTCCTGCAGCCTGGCACCCCTCCCTCCCTCAGCAGTGACTGAGCGTGAGGCCCACCTGTGGGCCAACCAAGAGTTGAGGTGCTGAAAGAGCAGGGGCAACGTGGTCGCCGCAAACGTCTTAGAGTGACTCTGGACACCACGGCAAAGGGGAGGGCAGGCAGGCTACTCGGTGACTGGAGGATGCATATGATGTGTTTGGGGGCAAGCTTTGCTTGTTTAGCTATCAGAGATACAGTACAACTGAGCTGATGCCTTCGCAGGTGGTACCTAGGGAGGTGAATATGCCTGGCTTTGGGGCTCCACCCACTGGAATATAATCCACAAACCCATCCTGGTGTTAGATGTCTGTGATTCATTAGCGTGATGAAAGATGTCATTTAAGAAGGCAAAAAGAGAGAGGAGAGAGGATGGCCAATCATTTTAACCATAGTGGATTTTTTTCCCCTTGCAAAGTCTAAACTAGTCCAAGACTGGAATTTTTCAGGGAAAAGCTTGACAATGTCCAGACTCCTTTGGCACTGCATGACTCTGTTATCAAATACAAATACGTGGGGACAATAGATATTTGGTGCCCAAGAGCCTTGGCCAGGCACCCTCCCAGGGAAGGAGGGGTGATGGGCCCTTAGGGCTGCCTGTTGTAGCAAAGAATGTACAGAGCCTCAGACAGTGTGAACCAGGATCTTATCATTATCAGAATGAGAAATTGCCGATGGTTCTGCTTCTTGGTAAACCTGCTAACAAGTCAAGTGCAAGATTTGTTTCTGTCCTAAATTACAACATGCACTTGCAGGGGCCACAGTGCGGCCCAAGTACGTATGTTCCTTTAGCAAACATATCCCAAGTTAAAAGCACTTGTGTTCTTTAAAGCAGCCCCAGCTGAGCCACCTCCAGCCTCAGCAGCATTTTCTGCAGTGTTCTTACCAATGTGGAAACAATTCTAAGCATCCGGACATTTTCTGGCCAGCAGGGTCCATGTTAAACGGCCATTCATGATTTCAGCTCTAGGCAGTCCAGTGTGACCTTTCCATGACCTTAGTTCTTATGGCAGCCTTTTCAATTAGAGAGGCTCCCCTATGCCATGACAGCAAAACTCTCAGCCCTTTCGTGAGTACAGCTGGGTGTTCGTGAGGCCACTCTAGGTATTCTAATAGCTTTAAGTCTGTGGTCATCAGGGCACCACTGAGCCAGAGCCTGGCCTGCACTTGAGTGTCACAGGGACGACGTGTACACTTGCCTTTCTGTTCCCACCTCTGTCCCGTTACCACCTCCAAGTCCATCTCAAATGGCTCTTCCACCATCTCCATCATTATATTTACTCACCCTGCCTAGCACTAACCAAGCCCAGCCCCTCCAGGCAGGGACGCGGAGGAGCACAGAGGTGCAGACAGTGGCCCCTTCACGGTGCTCTATAGCGGATGGGGTTCGTGGTCCTTGGAGCCTCACCCTGACAGCGGGGAGACCCATGCCTGTTTTTGGAAGTACCATCACCTCTACGTGGATGCCCCCCAGTGACCCACTGCCTCCAGGCAGCCCACCAGTCCTAGCAGAAGGCCACTGTCCTAGCAGGTGGCATCAGCACCTACCAGCAAGCACCTCATGAGAGAAACTGGCTTTCTGAAGGAAATTAAATCCCATCTGTAATTTTTCTAATAGTGCTCATTCTTCAGAGGGAAGCTGTGAAGGTTAACTTTCGCCCATGGTTAACTTAATACTCACAGAAATTCAAATTAGTAATGTCAGAGTTAATGAAGTTTTAGAATACCATTGAGCATGTTTAAGTAAGACTGTAAGAAATTAAATACAAATATAGTATTTATGCTTAGTTACAGTGATTGCCAAAGTGGAAAGTTCTGGATTTCTGTGGTCCTTGTAAATGAGTCAGGCAAGGAATGTTGGTTAAAGAGAAGAAGAGTAGTATTAATAAAAAGAAACCTCAGGGGGTTTGTGAGCAGAGGGTCTGACCTGTTCATTAGGTGATGCCATCACCTAATTATAATGGATAAAAGGTAGAACTCTTCCATACTTTATGTAAGACAGCACTACAGAAGTGTTGCTGTGGTTTACTTGTTAGCTTTTCCCGCTGTTCTCAGCAGCTCTAACTTTTGCTATTTTAAGGTAGCGGAAGTTCTGGGAAATTCTGAGAAACATGGGGAATGGCAGGGACAAGAGGCTCCACAATGGCCTTTCGAGAAGATCCCACTGAGCTCCAAATAGCAGGCTGATTCAAACCATGACGTGAAACATGGAAATACCATTTTACTCTGTTTTATGAGGACCAAGTTGAGTTTCATTTTAGTGAGTCACAAATTACTTAACATGCTAAAATGAAACTTAATAGCACTCATAAAAGTGGGAGTGAATTGGGGGAAGAAACACAAACATTGTCTATTTTTCAGCAAGTCCCTATAAATCAGGAGTCCCATCATTAATGATTCCTCCTGTTGGCCTCCAGAAGCAAAGAAATCAAGTTAATATGCCTCTAATGTGCAACTTGCCTCAAAGCTGCTGACCGGTAAGGGGTGAGTCAAAAAGCTGAACACGTCTGGGACCAGATGTGTTTGGCTTCATCAGCTTATGTACACTTGCAGCCAATGTACTCTAATTACAGTCACATTTCCTTGGGACCCTAGCTCATGTATGGATCCCTTGTTTGATGAACGGCAAAACATCTTCAGGGCCTGTGAACTGCTTCAGTGAAGGGATGGTGTCTGATAATCTGTGTTCTCCAAAGAGCTATCTTGAAGGACAGACAGTCTGTGATTGCATTTCACAAAGAAAAAAAGAAGACTGGGTGGGTCACTGGCTCTTACGGACTTAAGTAATTCTGGAACCTGGAGCCTATTTCAATGGGTCATATTCAATGTCCAGAATTTATTGACCTCTTATTTTGTGTACAGTGGTTTTCTATTAGGCAAGTAGAATCACTGGTGGGATTTAGGAGATTTATAAGAGACTCTGACTTCAGAGTCCCCTTGTGTAAAGAAGGGGTCACAAGTATGCAGGAAGCTCTCAGTTGAGTTCAGTTCAGTTACTCAGCTGTGTCCAACTCTTTGCAACCCCATGGACTGCAGCACATCAGGCTTCCCCATCCATCACCAACTCCTGGAGCTTGCTCAAGCTCATGTCCATCAGGTCGGTGATGCCGTCCAACCATCTCATCCTCTGTCGTCCCCTTCTCCTCCTGCCTTCAATCTTGCCCAGCATCAGGGTCTTTTCCAGTGGGTTAGTTCTTCGCATCAGGCGGCCAAAGTGTTGGAGTTTCAGCTTCAGCATCAGTCCTTCCAGTGAATATTCAGGGCTGATCTCCTTTAGGATGGACTGGCTGGATCTCCTTGCGGGAAGCCCTCCTGGGTGTTTATGTACAGGCAGGCCTGTGTTTCAACAGTGCCCACCTGGTTGCTGCTTTTACCCTTCAGCTGACAAGTGTGTGATTATTGATGCCGAACCTTTATCCAAAGCAGTGCTTATAGCTCTGATGTCATACCCTGCATCCCTTTCTCCTGATTAACCTCCCATAGAAACTTTCAGATTAAGCCTGTAGACTCAGCCACATGGTCACCCCTGTTCCATCCCAGGACTCCACTCACCCTGTGGTTAAGGCAGCATAGCACACACCACGGTGGTGAAGAGAAGCAGAGGCCATCCTTTGACAAGAAGGCAGAAGTGGATGCAAGTTTTACTGAAGGAACAGAGGCCAGAGCTGGAACAGATGGAGAGTCACAACCAGAAAGAAAGCAAGATGCTTGATGAAGTCTAGGACTTAGGAATGGAGGGTGGAAGTGAGAAGTTGGCTGAAAACAATGAGCCTCGGGTGGTGACCTTGCCCTGCCTGGCGCTTGGAGCTTGACGAGCTGTTAGGGAATTATCTTCAAGTTTTCCCCAAAGTTGCGTGAAAAGCTGTTCAAGGACAGCTGGAGCAGGGAAGGGACCCCAGTGCTCTAGCGTAGCGCCCACCCTCTGGGACTAAGGGCAGAGCCCAGCTTCCCTCCTGCCAGGCCCAAATGGAAGCCTGTCACCCTGCATCCAAAGTGGCCTGTCACTTGGCCATCTGTGCCTCATTCTCAAATACAAGTGGTCAGCCAGAGATCACCAGCTCCCTGAAGAAAACCAGCAGCAGGAGTGAGAAAGGACCAAGAAAAACAAGCAGGAAAACTGACCCTGGCAAAAAAATTGAGATAATTACAGAATTCTGTATGCAGCCAAATGATCAACCAAGCATGCAGGCGAAATAATTTTGGGACATGGAAGAACTCAGAAATTTTATTTTCCATGCATCCTTTTGAAGAAATGAGGTGTGGTTTAGCAGGATGAGGGTGAAGGCGAGAAGGAGGAAGACGAGCCCAGCAGAACTTGGTGGAGCGACCCAGGAGCCTGGGAGAGGCCAGGCGGGGGTCTGCATCGCTGGCTGAAAGCAGCAATTAAATTTAAAGTAAGAAGCCAGTGATGTCCCTCTAACAGCAGAGAGAGAGGGGGGCAGTGGTTGGAAGATAGCTATCAAGCTGAAGAAAGGAAGTGCTTCTCCTCCCAGCCAGGAACATGAACACAAATGAAGACTGCTGAAATCTGTGTGAGGAAGTCCCAGCTCAAAAATGAGAAAGTGAAACCACTCTGTTGAGGGAATGGTCACTGCTGTCCGGCTGGTGGTGCAGAAGAGAAAGCCGAGGACTTGGTTTGAAAACCGAAGTCTTCGGTTCCCCCAGCTTGATGAGAGGTCAGCATTGGCATGCTTTTATTGAGCATGTGTTCTGTGCTCTGTGCCATGCAGGCCACTGTGTTTGGGGTGAGGATAAGAACACAGGTTCATAAGACGCCCTCTTTCCCGGGCTTATGGTCCATCTGTGGGAAGATGAGACCAATTCACGTGAA